CTTGGATCCGTATCTTCCACCGGCTCTTTTGCTGCATGATCTGCTGGAGATAAGAAAGCTTCATCACTGCATAATCTTCAAAATATTTCTGTCTGGCAATTCATATTTTGCTTTTTTGTCTGACCGAGATAAAGCACAACTATGCAGCCATTACATGCATTATGTCAAATTACATTTCCACAAGAAAACATGACAAACTAGAAAATGTCAGAGCTACTAGCACATAGATGAGAAACTACATGCAACAAGGAAACCCAACTCTAAGCTAACATAAGATAGACTTAAATAAAAATTCTAAATTATTTTTAGTAAAAAAAAAAAATCACAAAACAATTCAGCAATAAAGAATAAAATCCAGTAAATCTGCTAAAAGCTAAGTTTTGTTCTCTGAGTGGCAGCACTCTGTTTTTTTCTTCGAGCAATAATTCAAACAGTAAACATACCCACTACAACAAAAATAAATACTATAATAAACGGCAGACTGTAATAAAAAACCTAATAAAAAATATGCTTGACGTAAGCATTAATTATTTGTATACAATAAAATAAGAAATTTCAATTATATTAGCATCAAAAGGATACAAAAATAAATCTTCAAAGCATTTGCAGGTGAACCATTAAATGTCAACCCCTCTGCACCGATGGCTAAATTGATAAACAATAGTGGGGTACTGACCAAAAGTGCACAGAGAATCTGAAAAAAATTTCATATAGAAGTCAGGATTCACAACACCACTCCTGTAATTTAATGTTGTCATGCCATTTCCTCAAGGAATCTCTTCTGTTGATACATATCATGTTTTCAAAAACTGAAAAACATTTTAAATTATGTAGTAGGATTCTCACTCCATTCTTGTCACTCTTATTCTAAAAGTCCTTATACTTACTAGAAGACCACGTTAAGTGTTTTCAACCGCAACCAGAAAGAGGTGGTTGGAATCAATATTTGGTGATTACCTTCTCCCAAATATAGAAATCAGTGCGGTTTAGAACACAACTTAGTCCCAGAAATGAATTACAAAACACCCAGTATAAACACTGATCCCCAAAATAACACAGAAGTTGCATAGACACTATTCTAACCAACTCAAATTTAGCATAATTGTTTATTTCGGGGCCTGCTCCTACAAATCTACTCAATGCAATAGAACAACAAGCTAAAGCATAAGACAACACAAGACAGTACAATAAACAGGCCTGAAAATAAAAAAAGCGGCAGCAGTGGGACAGGAGCAGCCCCGGGGCTCCAGGACAGAGCTATTCTCCCTCCTGCGGGGCAGCCCCATCAGCAGCAGTTCCTGGGTGTGCGGTGTGGTGCCCAGCCCCTCTCTGCAATGCCAGGAGGAGCCTTTCTCCGTGCTCGTGCCCACAGGAAGACCACAGGCATTCTCCAGGCAGGTGGCACACGATCAGAGGGGTCAGATCTACCAGGCTTGGTACTGGGAGCCAAAGAAAGACTGCAGTGAAGAAGGCCAGCCCAGGCATCCCTGGGCTCACTGTTTCTCCACTGCCAGCAAAGACCCAGCAAACCCAGTGGCAAAGCATGCAACTTATCGTCAGTTTATTCTGGAGGCCTTACAGCTCCTCCTTATGGATTCTTGCCCGAGTTAAAAAAAAAAAAAAAAAAAAAAAAAAAAGAGAGAGAGAGAAAAATCTTTCGTTTGCCCTTGTAATATAAGAGGAGCCTTAAGGTAGATGAAAGCAGACCCCACAAAATGTCCATGCCCTGGTGTACCTTGGTGGCTACTGTAGCTATGGTAAGGGCTTCATCCTCTATCTTCTGTCACATCTCCAAGATATGGCCAAGGTACAATGCAACACTAGTAATTATTTACTTTCCACAATCCAGAGGGAAGCACTGAAAAAATGCGAGAAGTTCCAAGAATACGGGCATTCTATAAGTGGCATGCATGTGTATAAATATTTGTACCTAAGAATATACGCTCCACATACTGGCTGCAAATGATTCACCGTGGTCTTGTTGATCACTGATACTTGGCAGATAATTTGAAAACCACAGACTTAATATTTAATTGTGAATAAGGCAATTAAAATGCCATGTCCCCTCTCTCTTTCCCACATGTACCTCCCACAGCATTCTGCAGCTTATCTCATACAGCTGGATGCAGGTGCACAAAACAGCAGGGAGGAAAGTTCTCTGTTTATCTCAAATGTAAAACATCCACATGTTCAGCATTTGCATGTTGAAAAGCCAACAGGAAATACAGGTATCATCTGACTGACTATTCAGTGCAGACCATCTGATTTCATAGTTACTTTGACAGACAGCTTGATGACAACATTATCTGGGATCCCTCAAAAAAATCACTATCCCCATACTCCCCACCGACAGCATACAGCCACTGGCCTACATTTACTTCCCCACACTTCTGCCAGACGGACATAAATCAGCACGTGCAAATTGACTCGGACAGGCGTAAGTCAGGTTCGATGGTTGCTCCCAAGGTTCCTTTCTGCCGCCCAGCACCTGCACACTGACTGCTCAGCAGCTGCCATGGCTCTCCTGCCTGAGCCTGTCCAGTATAACCAGTCTGCAACGGGAGCAGCAGACTTGTACCCATCACCACCATTTCTCTCTGTTCAATACTGCTACTCTAACGGGATGCAATGCTGTGCACTTAACAGTGTGAACAGTTTGCCAATTTTATGCATACGCAGGCGTACATATGTGTATACACGTACATATTCAAATTTCTAATCCTACATCCGCTCTTTGTCCTTGCATTGGAAGGAAGTCTGAAGGTGGGTTTTGGAGACTGCAGCATTTTGACCTTTAAGCAGGAGGGGGTTCACAAAGCACCATGTAGCAGAGTCGGTATTCCCCTCTGTTGCAGTTTTTTCCCTGCAGCATAGCCTTGACACCACCAGTAGCGAGCGAAGCATGTAAGGGGTCCACTGTAGTTACGTAGTTCAACCACACATATATAAAACCTCTCTCACGCCAAGGCAGGGCATACACATTAATAGGACAACTTAGTACAACTTGAATAAAGGCATCACCCTAATACTAATGTTGTTCATAGAGATGAATCTTTTGATTAAACCCAAATCAACAATGGTGCTTTGACCAGAGACACATGAATTTCAGATTTGAATAAGAGAAGGGAATACGGCAAACTATATTAGAATATTCAGTTCTCTGAAAAATCTGGTGGACTTACATCAGCACTTGTGCATTTTTGTTTACTGTTAACTGCTCAAAACTTTGTCACTGTCTGAGCAGATAGGTAGGGAAAAACTGTGATGCTGGCACACCTGAGATGAGGTACTCAAAAGTCATTTGCGCCATTAGCCATGTAAGTTAGAGTGTGGGCTTCCTAACCACCCGGAGTCTGCGATTTTAACAACATGGCTTTGAAATGTGCTGTTAGAAAGCACAAGCTAACTTAGACGCTGAGCACTGGCACAGGCTTGACAAGACAAGTTGCACTGAAGCGCAGCAGCGGAGCACATGATAAAGTATTACCATGCTTAATTAGCGTGTGCGGAGGGGGAAGGGAGCAACTAACAAACCCTTTTAACCTCGGCCGGGGCCAGGCTCCTCACCTGGCTCCCGTGAGCGACGGCCGCGGGTCACCCCCGCCCGGGGGGG